CGCGATTTTTTATAAAATGCTTAAAATGACCTGAAACGTATGCAAAATAAATTTGAGACGATTTTGAGCATTTAAAAATTTTGCGCGCGCATTGACGCGCGGACGTACGCGCACGCGCGCGTTTTTTGACCCGAAATTGACCGGACGGATATTGACCTTGATCATGATAAATATGAATGAGAACTGAGTTTTGGGTATGAAGATATGATCATAAGTTTATTTTCACAAAATGGCGCCTAGACGACGTCATCAGTCAAGGTCAAGGTTGAAAAGGTTATTTTAAATTTTCTATATGCCTATACATATGTGTGCCAAATTTCAAAGCATTTGATTGAACCATTTCAAAGTTATCTTGCTAACAAAAAAGTGGGTCGAAATAAGAAAAATAAATAAATAATAATAATAAATAATAATAAAGGCAATTTTAACAAAATTATAAGGTGGTCTGTATTAGATACAGCCCACCTGATAAAGGCAATTTTAACAAAATTATAAGGTGGTCTGTATTAGATACAGCCCACCTGAAAAACAAAACATATATACTAAAACATACTAGCATGTACGATCAGAGTAAAAAAAAGTGTCAAACTTGCCCATGTTATAAATACTGTACTGTTTGTAACTTATGGCGATTTGTCATTAGAGCTATTTGATGATCAATGAAACTTCTATTTCTTTTCAAGAGATAAAGTGACTTGAGAATTTTCTTATGAAAATATGCAACATGATCATTCCAATCTAAGTTTTCATCAATAATGACACCAATATATTTACATGGGTGAACTGGTTATATAATCGTATCATTAATACAAATAGGGTGAGTTTCAATAACTGTATTCCATCTTTTATATTTTAGGCTGATCCAAGCAACATAAATTCACTCGTATTAAATGTTGACAGTCAGTTTATTACTTCTTAACCATGATTAGATTTTTACTAAATAATTATTCAATTTATTTACAATAACACCAGGTTGCTATTAGAAAAGAATAAGCATGTATCATCTGCATACATGGATATAACACAATCTGACAAGCATCTGGACATATCACTTACACACAGAGAAAACAGAGAAAATAGTAGAGTCCCCTGAGGGACGCCACTAGTTACATTTTGTTTTTCCGATTCAACACCATTCACAACAGTAAATTGTTGTCTACAATAGAAATAATTATCAAACCATTTCAAGGTGGTTGCATCAATGCCATAAAGTTTCAATTCGTCCATCTAAATGGTTTCATCTATGGTGTCAAATGGTTTCCGTAAATCAATCATCACTATTCCAGTTAGGTTGCTTTTATCAATTTTTCCTAGCCATTTTTCAGTAACGTTAAGTGATGTTATTTGCGTCGAGTGTTTTGATCTAAATCCCGATTGGCAATTTGAAAAAATGTTACTTTTCATTAAATACTTTATTCACTGATCAAAGACACCTTTCTCTAATATTTTACCCAAAATAGGAATTTTAGATATAGGACGATGATTATCTAGACTATCTTTATTACCACATTTAAAAATGGGTGTACACGAGCAAATTTTCACAGACTTTGAATAATTCTTAATGGAAGAGATAAATTTCTAATAAATGCAACAGGTTTTTAAATAAACATAACAGCATTCGAGATAATTCTCGCGGGAATATTAACAGGACCTGTCGCCTTGGCCAAAGACAACGTTTTAAGCAATTTAAAAATATCGTCATCATTTATCTCACAAAAAGAAAAAACGGAAACTTCATGATTAACACCAGAAGTTGGGTTTTAAACATTAACATCTAGCTGCTGCATAGCTTGAATATTTGTACCAATATCAACAAAGAAATTATTGAAGGCATCAGAAAGATTACTACCAGTAAGACTATTCCCCCGTACGCTTAAGGAAACTGATATATTTTGATTCTTACCTTTTCATCTGATTTTTTTTCAATGACTTCCAAATTTCTTTGGTTCATTTATTGGCTGTTTCAATTTTAGTCATAATAAACTGTTTCCTTGCCTGACGAACGCATTCTGTCACTTGATTTCTTGCTTCTCGATAGTTCTTCCAATTCATTGGGATTTCGGCTTGTTTACCTTACACTATTGTTATTATTTCTTTCTTTAATTAATTCCAAAATATCAAGGGTCATCCAAGGAGAGTCTCAACGTTTCATTCTAATTCTACATAGGGGTGCATGCTTATCAATGGGTCTATTTAAAATAGATGTAAAATTTATATATATTTTCTGTGGTTCATTTGACTCATAAACAGACTTCAGCGAAATATTGGCGAGATCTCTTTCAAAGTTTTGAAGATTAAATCTTTTATAATTTTTAACAATGTTAAAACTATGAACATTCTATTTCCTTTATGAGTTTTACCAAGGACTTCATGAATTACATAATGATCTGACAATGATATTTCTATTAAAATAGAAGAACAACAATTTAAAGATACATTCGTGAATTACAAATCAACAATAGTGGAAGACTTATCAATGACCCTAGTAGGGTCAGAAATAAATTGAGGACAGGAGAATGACTCCATAATATATAAGAGTTTCTTTATTTGACATGACTTGTTAGTAGCAGCAATATCACAATTTTAAATCCCCAGTAACCACGTGTCCAAATTTCTGAAAAAAATTCAAGAGGTGAATTTGGGGGCTAAGTCGGTATTTGGCGCTAAATCCTCACTTGTCAGAAAGTTAATACCTGATTTCATATACAAATATATACCATCACCATAACGGTAACGATCACGCCTGAGAAATGTATAACCAGAATAAAAATGTCAGCATCATCAATATTATCACTCAAGTATGTCCCGCTGATTGTCAAGACATTCAAATCTAAATCATGGACAGTAAGAATCAATTCATCACTTTGTTTAGTTCGAGACATACAATTCATATGAGCTATTTTAAGACTTTTTTCAAAGACAGAGATACATCTGGACGCGCATCTTCAGAGCGTTGATTTAAATTTATTTTTACGAAATGCGTAGAGATATTCAAATCACTATCTGTAATTAACAAATAAATAATCATCAATGCAATTTGATTGGGTAATTCTTTAAATAGGCACAAAAATTACATGTCCAGTACTTTTCAAATTGGGACATTGGGAGAGGAACAATTCAAATGACTCAATGACTTACATTAAATCAATTTAAATTGGTGACTGTGTCTCGTTCATCTCTTACACCGGGTCTCCCACCTCTTCACCTGCTTTGTAGGAGTCGATATCGGAGTACTTCGAACTATTCACGACGTGACTTTTTATTCTTGGTGCAGCTTCCCTGTGATCATAAAAAAGAGAAAGCACCATGAGTATCGTATACTAGGTACAAAGTTTGTCTTATGATTAAATCACGCATTAAAACTAAACCCAAGGTTATTATGAACGTATGCATCATTTTGTTTAGTCACGAGTCACGAATGTTACGAAAACATATCTTCTCCTCATCAAATGCATTTTACGTAACTTTACAAAGAAGACATTGACCTTTTACTGATGCTTATTAAGCTTGATGCTGAATTTAAGAAACCGGGGTTTCTGAAGGTCTGAAATAATTGTTTTTTGAATCACATTTCTTAAGATGGTGTATTTTTCCCGTTTCCAGGCCTTTACTTGATACCAGGGAGGGAGGGGGCAGTGGCTTTGGTATTTTAGGGGGGGGGGGTTATTGAATTTGATGTTTCAGTTTGATTAGTTTACTCGAGGGAAGAGTTTTTATGACACAATTTTGGAGTACGGTTTTAGAGGGACACTGCTGACGTCCTTCAGTTTTTCTTTCCAAGTAAGACGGGCTATATGTGACTTTTAAGATGCATTATTGGCAAACTTTTCACATCAAAAGTTCCCATTTGAAATTTCTTGACAATAATGTCATCTCGCACGTTTTAAAAAAACAATTATGATTTCTGATTCATAGACAAAGCATTAGATTCTCTTTGACGATCATCCAAAGACATTTAATGAACAAAGCCAATGAATTTTCAAAATCCTACCATCCGATGTTTTCTCCCTCTTCTATCGTTTCTGGTATTTTTTTGCCTCTGGTTTCTGGAAGGAAGTAGGAAGTTCCTGCCCCGATGAGAGCGAAGCAGCCAAAAATGACGGGAGGAAACGGATTCCAGATTTTGGAAAGGAGCAGGATCATTGGGGCTAAAATGTTGGCCAAGTCTGAGCCGAGAGTGCACGTGCCAATAGCTGAACTCCTGGAAGATATAGATTACAAGCGAATAAATAACAGAAACAAGAATTAATGATAACGAAGTTATTTTTGTAATTACAAAATTTGGACACATTAAATATTTTGTTTATAAATAAAGGAGTTCGATGTTTCTTGAAAGTGACTGAACGTATAGTTAAGGCTGTCCTGGTATACTAATAATGTTTGTGTAGCTTAAAGCAAAGTTCCCCGTTGCTGTCCTCCCTCTTGAATTGTTTGCAAATGTTGATAATCATCTCCGGCGATAATCGAACCCAGATTCCTGGTCCCTGCATAACATTTTAGAAGGGTGAGGGGAATGGGGGATGGGGAATGGGAACTCTGATTTAAAAAGTAGTTCAACCCTAACAAAGTTCAAATATTCATGTAAACAGTCATTGTTTAAACGCAGGATGTGCACTGAGTAGATTTTTCTGTAAAATGTTCTGCCTGCGGTGTGTGTTGGTGTGTCCGTGTGCATGGGTGGATGTATGTTTTTTTGATAAGTTTTAAAATATTTGTTATCATAATTTGCTTGTATGTTTATTTTTGTCAAGGGCCCCATTCGGCTCCTTCCAAATTTTGCTGTTCATTTGTATTGTTTACTTTGAATTTTAATGGAAAATAAATAAATGAATTGAAAAATGTATTATTATCTCATTATCTTTACATTACCACGCACACGCACACACACACACACACACGCAAACACGCACACGCACGCATATGTGTGTGTGTATGTGCTGTGTGCGTGTGGTTGTGCGTTGGCGCACGAGTTTTCATGCATATATAAAATATTAAGGCTATTACCTAACTGGGGTCGGAATAATCTCACAAGCACGTAGGTAGATAATGCAGAAGGAAGCTGTGATGGCAAACTTTCCAATCATTGCTACTGCGGCTCGTCCAATACCGAACGCTGCCAAGAGACCAAAATGATAATGTGCTATATTAACCCTCATGACAATTATGTTTTGAGGGTTAACCCCCGGGGGAAAACACATAACAATATTGCTCCCCCCCCCCTCCCCCTGAGCGAAATATTGGTCGGCACGATTTTCAAGTTTCAAACACCCTCCTTGAAACAATCCTGCGTATGCCACTGCTGGAACGCATACGTGAAATTCGAAAAAAGTAAAATATAGGAAACAATTATGTAGAAACACAGCAAGTATGATTTCATCTTCCAGTATTTGAACAAGCAAAGCATTGATGCATGACTCTAAAGGCCATACCTGAAAATAGGTAGCCCTGATATTATTTCCTCGGAAAAACTGTATGTTGAGCGCACGGGCAAGAGAGAGAGAGAGAGAGAGAGAGAGCGAGAAAGAGAGAGAGAGAGAGAGAGAGAGATCAATACTACCTGAATGACAAAATTGGCTGATGACCAATTTTCTTCCGAGACGATATATACAATACAGCGCTTGGAGACTTCGGTGGTAAGCGCTTCATTAGTAACGTTATTATTATTATTTATTATTATTAATAATACTTTCATTTTCATATTAATTTTGTATTTGCTAGAACTAAACTTACGAATGAAACCTGTGGCCAAAATGGCGGTTCCACATAAGGCCATGAAGAAGATGTAAACCGGTCTCCTCCCCCACCTTTCAATTGGGTACATGACACACAAACAAGCAGGAATTTCGACAGCACCCGCGATAGCAAAAGTTGTGTATTTGTTAACTCCAAGAGAATCAGTGCTCATGGATATGCCGTAGTACACCACAATGTTCACACTTCTAGGAGAAAAAAATGATAATGATAATATTGATAATAATAATCATCATCATAATAATAATGACATATCAAATAATAAGAAAATTGTTACTAATGAAAATGATCGCTATGAAAATACTGATAGTAATAGTAATAGGCTTCAAATAAATGGTAATATTAATGATAATAATAAATATGATGATCAAAATAATATTGATAATTATAATGATTATAATAATAACAATGCAGTTAAGTGTTTTGTATCATCAAATTTCTCCTTAAACTAACTTCGTATCAAATGCGTGTATACAAACGCAAACAGACGTACATGCACATTCTAGTCCTTCCATATATATATATATATATATTTATTTTTTTTTGGATTTTTTTTTTTTGGGGGGGGGGGGGGGGGGGGGGTGGAGAAATTTTTGAATCCTAAACATAATTTGATATTCAGTATCCCCTTGACAGGAAGTTGCTTGGATTTAAGCCGAAACATTACACTAATAGGTTGGTGAATAAGATTACAAATATCAGACATTTAGAAAGGTTATGCTTATGCAAGATTATATAAAAATGCACGATACTTACAACTGGAACATAAGGTTTAGCGTGTAGAGACGTAAACGAGGACTGCGTAATAATTTAACCAAACCCTGGTCTCGACCCCCCTCGACTTTCTACTTGAACAAAACACAAAAAAGCAATTCATGTCATGATTAAATAGGGAGATGTGAGTTGGTTTAGCGGCTCATTCACTTGGTCAGCTCTTTGTCTTCGTCTACAAGCTGGCTCAGGCGACCACGGTTCGAAACCGAGTTACGTCTTTCGGATGGTGACGTTAAAGGTCGGTCCCCAAACGTAAATAATCATTACTGATTGATACACGTCTGTAGAATCCCAATTACACACACAAATACACTGGGTCAAAAGGGATAAATGTAAGTTAAACTCAAAGAAAGCATCAATTTTATCTAGGGCCTCTCGTACTCGTACTAGAGTTGATAAAACAATTATTCAAAATACCTCAATCTTACTATTGTGTCAACATTACGTCCAAGACCTCCTCAGATGTGAAAAATGAATGAGAGAGAGAGAGAGAGAGAGAGAGAGAAGGGGGATGGGTGATACTAGAATGAACTTACCATACCCGTTTTCACATTGTCCAAGTTAAATGTCTCTTTAATTTCGGCTCCATTGATCTTGCCTAGTTTGCGCATGACCTTTGTTGCTTCTCTGATACGGCCCTTTGACAACAACCAACGTGGAGATTCTGGAGTCCGCCTTTTTAAAAAATAGAAGGATTTACCAATAAAGGAATTTTTAAATTTGTCGATACATGTTCAAAAGAGCAAATACGAACACCCCTAGAAAAAAATAAAGCATAAACAGAAATAAAACAAAAACAAAAACAATAACAACACCAAACACCCCCCTCCCTTCCCCCGAAAAGTAGAGATAATACACAACGAAAAACAAATTCAAGAAAATGAAAATCAGGATTGTGGGGCGATTAACTGACAGTCTGTAAACAAATTTGATGACAGACTTTTTTGAGAGGGTGGGGTCTAGCGAGCTCCTACAGTGGAAGCTGTGTTGGAAATTATCACGCTTTTCTTTGCAGCATTTCAAGAGGTTTTTATGACCTATGTTATTATCATGATAATAATAATAATGATAATATTGATGATAATGATATTTGATGATGATGATGATGATGATGATATTAATAATGATAAAAATAATAGGGTGTTATTTATCCGGGGTAACCATACATTAGTAATACTGCTGTTGGCCATACAAATGTTATTACCCTTTTTTATAGCAATGCCAAGTTCCCATTTATTACGCCTGGGTCGAGAGGGACAAATGTGGGCAAAACACCTTGAACAGGGATAATTGCACCATGGAAAGATCAAACTCGGGACCCTCTCTTTAGGAAGTCAAAAGCATGAATTAGCAATACACGACAATGCTTCCACACAACGATGATAATATACAAATAATACACATCAGTGAGGGCATTAGTAAGAATTACCCACTCGAGGTACCTTTGGAACAGCGCCCGAGGCGATAGCCGAGGGCGTTCGGACTGTTTTGAAGGTACCGAGTGTGGGTAATTTTATTAATGCCCGAACAAAATGATGTGTATTATTTGTTTTATAAGATTATGTTTTATTTGTTTTATAAAATGATGTTTTATAATATGATTATGATAATGACCAGTCATTACCATTGGATAATGACCGGTCATTATCCAAATTACACGTTACCCTTTTTGATAGCAATGCTAAGTTCCCATTTATTACGCCTGGGTTGAGAGGGACAAATGTGGGCAAAACACCTTGAATAGGGATAATTGCACCATGGAAAGATCAAACTCAGGACCCTCTCTTTTGGAAGTCAAAAGCATGAATTAGCAATACACAATGCTCCCACACAACGATGATAATACAAAATATGTTGTCTTACACGTATATGATGAGCAGAATAGTAGGTAGCAAGGAAACAACCAGCTGTAGATGACGCCAGTTCCTGACGTAGAATGCTAGCAGGGATAATGCCATGTACCCTACTGCAAAGTGGACCCATATCACAGTACCAGCAATGGCTCGCTTGGAAGGACCAACCAATTCGTTTGCTAAACGTAAATGAACAAAGAGATAAATAGATTTATTGTAGGTCCATAATCATATTTCCTCCATTATTGTTAAGGATCACAGCAAACAGGCTACAATTCTGCCGTTCATATTCTAGTAATATTCACACTTTTTTTCTTCTTTTACCCAATTACTCCTGCGATTACTACTACTAGTACTACTACTACTACTACTACTACTAACAGTGGCGGATCCAGGAATTTCTTACGGGGGGGGGGGGGCACAAAATGGCATGGGGTGCATTGGTCCCCCATAATATCGCAGCGACTCAACCCGGTAGGGGGGGGGGGGTGGGGGTAGTGAGCACTAATTTTTTTTTTTTTTTTTTGGCCAGGTGGGCACGTACCCCCGTGCCCCTGGATCCGTCCCTGACTACTACTACTACTACTACTCCTCCTACTACTTCTACTATTACTACTACTACTACTCAGAGCGTCGCTGACGGGGGGGGGGGGGGGATGGGGTGCAACTCCCCACCTATCCGGATATTGTCAGTACAATTGCGCTGCCGTCGGGAAAAATGAGAAAAGGGGTGGGAAAAATGAGAGGGAAAAGAAAGAAAAACGGAAAGAGAAAAGAAGAAAAAAAGAGAAATAAAAATACGAGGAAGGAGAGGGGAAAAAAGGAAGAAAAAAAAGGGGAAAAAAAAGAAAAGAAAGAAAGGGAGAAGAAAAAAAAAAGGGGGGGGGGGTGGTGAAAGAGGTTTGCGGGGGGGGGGGGGAGGTGGTAGTAAGCACTATTTTTTTTACTCAACACCCTCCCCCCCCCCCCCCGAGCAAAAAGGAAGTACATTTAAAATTGTGGTTTCCATCTTTTTTTAAAACTTTTTTTTGTCAGAGATAGGACCGTCTTCTTTTCTTTTTATGAAAAAAAAAGTAACATTGTGGTTACCATCTTTGTTTTTTTAACATTTTTTTTGCCAAGGGTGGGCGGCCGTGCCCCCTGGTCCCCAACCTGGATCCACCACTGCCTCAACGCGCAGATAGAGAACTACACGTGTTTTTTTACGGTGCAGGCTAAGCGGGAGGGGGGGGGGTAGTAGTGTGCACTAAATATTTTGTCAGGGGGGAGTTTGAACACCTAAAACACCCTCTCTCTACGCCCTTGTGTGCGAGTGTGTGGTGAGGGTATTCCTCAATGAGTCTATATGTCATATGGCTTCGCATTTACACAGATCTATAAGTATCATGACGAGACTATGTGTCTTTCCCGTGGCCTGACTCGGGGCCAATCGGGTATAATAGGGACTTTTAGATTTGCGTGGACTGATACGTGTGACGTCCATTCAAGGCAGTGCATTAAAAGGACGTCCATCGTAGCAATCCCCATTGTCTTCGTGCGAATCTAAAAGTCCCTATTACGACTACGGACGACGCGACCGCAGCATTCACGTGCGTGCAACATTTGCGAAACCGAAGAGTGAGGAGAACTTTGGTCTGTTTCGCGAACACTAGCGCGCGCTTACCCAGTTTAGCGCGCGCTGACCCGGTTAAGCTTTGGTCACAACCCACCGTGCATGTTTTTAGTCCGTACGGTTTTTAGGAGGCCACGGCCGCCACATTTTTCTGAAAGCGTAGGAAGGGAGTGGCAAAGGCAGGGAGGGAATACCGGCAACGCACGTCACACGCACGGTGTACGTAGGTGGCCCGCACGCGACGCCTGGCTATGAGCGGTTGTGTGCATCGTACGTTGCGCCCGTGGTAAGTGCGTTGTACGTGCTTACAACGTGCTTACAACGTGCCTACAACGTACGGTCTCCGTGCGGTTGCCACGTTATCGTACGGAGGCCGTACTTACACGTGCTGCTCACGTACGGTGTCCTAACTCACTCGCACGTTGTAAGTGCGTGCAGGTGCGATAAACTCGGTGAGTTTTTCCGCCCGATGTCGGGGTATATATAGGACGACATTCCAATGTTCTTCAGAAGTCCCAACTGCTGCTGCCTCAAGATGCCGCCCATTCCACCGCAGAGACTATATACTGCATAAATCAGTGCGCACAACGTGCGTTGTAAGTGCGGAGCACGTGCTTACCCGGTACGGTCCACGTAAGTTCTGCGTGTTCATTGGACAGTTGAACTGGGGGAAGTGGCGAGTAAGCACGGACCACGCACTTATCACGCGCGCAGCACGCACGTGTTAAGTGCGCCTTCCGTTTGAAGCAAGTATATAAATTAAAAAGACGCACGGAGTCAGTGCGTTGTGCGCTCGTTTGCAGTACCGGGCACGCACTGGGGGTGAATCGGTAGCCCGACCGCAGCCCGAACGCAGCGAAAGTTCCTCGTGTACTAAAAGTGCTACGGTGTGTCTGCGTGCTCCCAAATCCGTACGGAGGCGGTACTCACCACGTACGGATACCCACATTTTGCCCACGTTTTTGCACGTAGACAGCACGCACTTAAGTACGGCGGGTTGTGACCACCGCATAAATCAAGTCCATTCGTGTACGTGCAGTTGTCCAAAAGAAGACGTAGATGGCGTTAACCAGTATTTCCCATGATACACTCCCTTAATAAATAGATTTGGCGAAATTACAACAGAATTATGGAAAGGAAAATATAATTAGGTTCACAAAAGGGCATGAAGAAATGAAAAAAAGTGAGTCAAATCCCTTTTTACACCGTAAATTCTTCACAGTGAAGTTTCAAACAATGAAGTACAAAACACTAGCAGTATTATAGTAGTCGTAGTTATTATACCTACCTTTGGAATTATATTACTGCTTCTACTTTTTTCTATCGCTTTGAGACTCATTGGCCCGAATTCACAAAGGAGGTTTGTCGACAAACCTTGGTTTTCGTACGTCATATGACGCGTATTACGCGTTTTTACAAACCTGGTTTGTAAAGAAAAAAAGGAGGTTTGGCGAAACAAAAAGAGGTATGTCGACATACCTTGGTTTGTCGACAAACCTCCTTTGTGAATTCGGGCCTCTGAGTTTCTTTTACAACATCATTTCATAAGCAGTACTCAATGTTTGGTACCTTACCAAGTACGAAGGATGATTGGAGCATTCCAACCGTAAATGCACCTGTGATCATTCTAAGTACCATGAACATCCATATGTTGACGGAGAAAGCCAGAGCTGTTCCGCTTACTACAATGGCAGTCGTGCACGTGACCAGGGTCCGATGACGACCAAATCTTGAGACAAAATGATCAGAGAAGATGAAAATGTACAAATCAGTCTTATGATAGATCGAGCCTGGTACTCTGCGTGTCGGGATGAATATCGGAATAGCCGAGATATACATTTCTTGGGTTCTGAGGGAGGAGGTGTAGAGGCTTAACTTCTTCCATCTCCTTACTAGAATAGGTAACACATCGTACGATTTACGTTACATGAGAACATTTTCGTACTCCAAATGGCTCACTTACAAACTTTGATGGCAAATTGAAAATAGGTGTTTATTTTTAATAATATTCATGAAATCTTAGTTGTGTAAAATTTGTGTGAAAATGCTTTTTTTGTTTACGTATTATCAATATTTACGTCATATGTTGCCTAGAAACATCATTGTCATTTATTTAGGCGACAGTTCGCGCATGCGCAATAATTGCCAGAAAATCAATATGAGCAATCACACACGGTTTTTATGGGTTTTTAAACTAGTGTGTAAATAGTTTTTTTTCCCTTCTAAATCGACCTTTTTAAAAATGGTGTTTGGGATGTGCAAATGGGGGTAGAGTCAGGGCCTGTATATGCGTAATTCTTTTGTGCATATAGCGCATGAAGTTTTTGTATTAAAATAAACTCTTTATTAGTCGCCAAAACTATTTCTAGTGCAACATTAATCTATACCAGTGTTAGAAAAGGTTGTCATAAAGCTAATCTAGACCGGAAAGGGGTAAATTAGCAAAGCTATGGTGTAGCACAAAGCAGTGCGTCCGTAAATTGGTGCCCATTGCTTTGCGCCAGATTGAACGCGTGACAAACGAGCGAGAGAGAAGAGAGTTGAAGAAAACAATACAAAAAAAGAAGCTAATTCTGAACATTCCGGGTAATGAATTTCTTACACACCTGTCTGAGAACAAACCAAACGCCAAAGACCCGGCGGCAGTACCAGCGAAGAAGAAAGATTGCGCCAGATTAGTCCGGTACCCCAATCCGCAAACTAAATTGAACTGAAAGATAATAGGGCTCGTTAAGATATGACGCGGTAAAGTGCCATAAAAAAGCAAAACAAAAATTCAAAAAACTTATTTAAAAAAGGTTTTAATGTGAAGGAATGACAATTGGCCGCAACGAAGGTGATTCGTGCATTAACTTAGCTCTATGTTATAAGAAACAGAAATGTGAAGCGTATTAAACTTTATATGTGATCATGACAAAAAAGAACGAAACTGAAACTAGTGTAGTTCACTGCTTTGCCCTCCTTAACATAATGACAAAGTTTAGGTACTTCAAACAACGTACCGGTATGTAGGCGCGGATCCAGGATTTTTGTTTAGGGGGTGGGGCCAAATTAGAAATCATGCGAGCCAATAATTGGTACGTAATGGTGACCAGCAGTGGCGTAATTATAAAAAAAATACGTTTGGTGGGGGGGGGGGGGTGGCAGAAAAAAAAATCCGCATCACCACTACTCTTACACGCAGACCCCGCTGAACGTTTTTAAAAGTGGGTGGGTGGGGGGGGGGGTTAAAGTATTAAAGATCAGGTAGAGCGTAGCGTAAATTGGCTTGGGGTCTAGGGGAGGAGCCCCGGGTGCTCAGGGGATGTGGGCATTTCATTACATTAAGATGAGCATATTTTGATATCATATTTGTGACACTGGCAGGTCACTAATTCGCGTGGGGTCCAGGAGGCGGGGCCCCGGAAGCTCGGGGTTTTAGGCATGTAAAACTAGTACTCACTCTCCAATCGTATTGCTTATTGGGGAATTTGGAAAGTCATCAAATATGTTTTTTCCACAATAATTGCTTTGCCACTAAATTCAGGCCTGGCTCAATATACTTTTTCGTTAGGCAACAGACAAGTTATTTATTTATATAACTGATTCACATTTGAAAATACCCTACACTAGTGTCTGGCCCTGCTTGCCCTATATTTGATCAGGTTTAGAGAGGTTGTGGTTGACACGATTACAAACAACATTGGTTAGCTTGCACATATTTTAACTGAATACCGGGCATGTGTTTGTTATAATGATTGCAGGGCGCTTTGGAAGAGCAGCACAAATTCGGATGTTTCTGACCTATTATTCCATTATCATAAACCTTTCCTTGGAAGTAATATGACATTCTCGACTTCAACAAATTATGTCACGTTTCTATAATTTTCGACAGAAAAATAAAATGCTTTCCTAGTATACATACAAAACAGACATCATGAAAACTAGGTGAATTTGTAATTTCATTGAAGTTAATACGAATAAATTTAACAAGGTGATATGTATTTCTTCTATTTTAAAAAACTAACTTACGTCCTGTTCCACTGTCTTCTCCTTAGATTTGTCGTTGTCATATACCCAACCAGCATCGCAAGAAGATGTGTTGGATCCATGTAGATCAAGATCTAAACTAAAATCCGCTTCGCTGGTATCATAACGAATACAAGATGAGTACACCTTTTCCGTCTGAGAATCGTTCGAGTAGTTCCAAGGGATGCCAACTTCTCTTTTCTCGAAGGCGCATTCTCTAGAAGTATTGAACCCATAGCTTCCACAATCTACCGAATCCCATTCTGGTATCTTTCAATGAAACGAAATAAACAGAAAACGCATTTTCACTGTACTTTCACTATACTACTACTTCTACTACTACTACTACTAATACTACTACTACTACTACTACTACTACTACTACTACTACTACTACTACTACTACTACTACTTCTACTACTACTACTACTACTACTAGCTACTACTACTTCTATCACTTCTTCTTTTTCTGCTACTACTACTACTACTATACGCTAATTCTACTACTACTACTACTACTACTACTACTACTACTTCTACTCTTACTTCTTCTACTGCTTCAACTACTGCTTCTACTACTACTGTTGCTGCAGTCAGGCGCGTAGCCAGGGGGGCGATGGGGGCGGTCGCCCCCCAAAAAAAACGCCGGCCAAAAAAAAAGAGAGAGAAAGAGAAGAAAAAAAAGTAAGAGGACGTAGGAAGAAAAAGGAAAACGAATCGTCTCCTTTCTCTAATAAGTTAATGAAACGTGAAAGCTTCCGCGCTTCGCGCGGGAGGGAGACTGAATACAGATAAGGATTAAGAGTCGGGAAAGGTACAACGAATTGTCTTCTTTGTCTACTAATACGTCAAAGCTAAATTCAGACAAGGATTAAGAGTCGAGAACGGTACTTCGAGTCGTCTTCTTTCTCTAATAATTTAATGAAACTTCAAAGTTTCCGCGCTTTTAGTGAGCACATTTTTTTTTGTTGGCGTCGAAAATTTAAAAATTTGCACCCCCCCTTGAGCGCCAGGGGGGGGGGGGGAGCCCAACCCCCCAAAAAAGTTAAAAATCATGTGTTTTTAAATGATTTTTTTCTCAAGGGGGGGGGGGCCGGGCCCCCGGTCCCCCCTCCCTGGATCCGCCACTGGTTCAGGTGAGTGCCCTTTTCTTTTTCTAACAAGTGCACCATTTCACTTCTGATGAATTTCCCTATTCTAATCTAATAGGTTCTCTTTTTACTTTGAAAAGTGCACTGTTGTAATACATTGTAATAAATGCACCCATTTCACATCTTATAAGTGCGCCTTTTCAGGTGCGGGAAGTGCTCCTGTTTACCTCTGAAAAGTGCCCCTTTTTCCTAAGCTTGTAATAATTGCATTTTCCCTTCAAAGAAGTGTCCCCTTACATCTCTGATGAGTGCCCCTTTTTACGTGTGAGAAATACCCATTTTAAGCTCTGATAAGTGCCCTTTTAAATAAAGTATAAGTATATAAAATATAAGTTCCCCGTGTTACTTTTGATGTAATTGTTCTTTGATAAGTACCCTTTTTTATCTATATATCCCACTGTAGCTTACAAATTGTGCCCCTTTGCGGTCATCTAAAGAGCCATAACCAGTTTCAATGAATCGAAGCAACTTTTTGTAGTAACAGGTACCCTTCTAAAACCACAATAAAAGGTAGTAGCCGAGGGGGCAGGGGGTACGATGCCCAAATATTATATGAACGAACTGTGCCCCTTTTAGAAACATAATCGTGCTCGTTTTCACAGCTATCTTATGTTCCTTTTTATTATAGAAGTGTATAGTAAGTGTGGCCTTTTCGCACTTAAACGTTTGCCCCGTTAAACTACCTTGGCATATTCTATACAACTGCTATTAAAAACAAGCATTTTCCTACCCACCATCCTATAAATCTCATGCCCTTTTGAAATTCATAGAATTCCAAGGTAATCAATTGCTCTTTGACCAGGAATATAAAGGTTTAATATAACAGATTGTAATAACAGATGTTAACAACTAAATTGTACATTCACAGAACAACAATTATTGCATTATTATTATTCAGTGGCCATCACAACATTTTTCACCGAAGGTCAATGGAACACCTATGTAATTACCGACAGCTATATATATTTAATTAATATTTGGGTATTAGAATTGCAAAATTTGTAAACATTATTTTGCTGGTAGATCTGGGAATAAGTTTTGTTCGCTTCTAAACTGTATGACATCAATTTTGCATTTTATACGTTAATTGCTATGTATAGGACTACAAATTTGGATCTATTATTACCAATACCATCATCGTCTTCATCAGCGTCAAAATGGCTGTGGGAAGATATTTCAGCCAAAATTGATCCAAATCAATTTGGAAATAGAAAGAACATGTCTACATGTCACTTTCTGATTGGGCTGTTGCATGCCTTGTATAGTAATGCTGACAAACCTAAGTCACTGTCAACACTCATTCTGACTGAGTTTTCCAAAGCATTCGATCGGATTAACCATAATATCACCATTGATAAATTATGTGAAATTTATGTTCGTCCTTGTGTAATTTCATTGGTAATAGATTTTCTGAGTAATCGTCAACAAACCGTCAGGTATAGAGGTCAGTTATCAGAATCAAAATACAATGGCGTAGGCGTGCCTCAAGGTGACAAACTTGGCCCAATTCTATTTTTGATAATGAATAATGATGCCTGCAGAGAAACTTCGTTGTCGTACTTTAAATATGTAGATGATTTACCAATAGTAGAATGCACAATGAATAATACACACATTTCTCAATTACAACACCAAATTGAACTTCTTGAATCGTGGACTTCTAGCAATGATATGACGTTGAATGCATCAAAATGTTCTACGATGTCCGTCTCATTTCCAAGCCGCCCCTACAACCACCTTTGTTACACCACTACCTTGTGTAAATACTGTGAAAATCCTTGGTGTTATAATTCAAAACGACCTCAAATGGAATGCTCATGTTACTGAATTGATGAAGAAAAGCAAAAGAAAGTTATTTATGCTACGCAGATTGAAAGTTTATAACCTACCCGAGGGTGATTTGTTGACAGTTTATATAGGGTATGTAAGACCAATAACAAAATACTGTGTACCTCTATTTTCCGGTAGTTTGACTCGTAAACAGATTGATGTTATAGAAAGTATAAACAAGAGCCTGTAATGCTATGGTCACATTACCCAAAAGTAGCCTGCTCGGCGGCCGAGCGGCGAGTTTTTAACCAATTCTGCCCGGCGGCTGCCCGGCCACCGAGCGGCGGCCGCCCAGGCACCGCTCGATTTTAGGGCATCGCTCGGTCGCCGCTGAAGTTTTAGCGCGGAGTTAAAATTGGGGCGGCGCCTGCTCACTTTTCACTCGCCCCCAAAATACGCTGGGTGCCTGGGCGGTCGCCGCCCGGGCACCGACCTAATTGCTGGGCGATGCCTAAATTCCAGCAGCGACCGAGCAGGCTACTGATCGGTCGGTCGCTGCTCAGATTTGTGACCATAGCTTAAGATAATATTAGGATCCAATTATACTTCATATGACAATGCTCTTGAAAGACTGAAATTGCCAACCCTTGTGACTCGAAAAGATCTGGCTATTGCACTACAAACAAAGCGCGGAAGCTTGTACGTTTTATTAAATCATTAGAGAAAAAAGATTCGTTGTTCCGTTTTTTACTCATCCAGTGGGGTCCAGGGGGCAGAGCCCCCGGAAGCTCAGGGGTTTAGGCATTTGATTACGGTTAGATGAACATATCTTTATACTTTATTTGTGACACTGGCAGGGCACTGATTGGCGTGAGGTCCAGCAGGCGGAGCCCCCAGAAGATCAAGGGTTTTAGGCACTAAATTGCGGTCAGATGAGTATCAAGGGGCCTGCCCAAGGGGCCTTGGTTGGGTCCCGGGGGCATTTTTTGATACCTTATTTTGTTGTGACACTGGCAGTTAACTTTTTTTCTTTCTTGCTCTCTTTCTTTCGATTTCTCTTTAAAATGCTTTTCCAAAAAAAATGGGGGGGGGGGGGGAGCTGGAGGCTCCAGATCCCCGCCGTTCCGCGGGCCCTGACATGTAGGCTTTTCAAGAAGCATATTTCTTGCCTGGCTGTTATTTTACTAAAAAGGCATAAAAAAGTATAATTTACTAAAGAATGAGGAAAAATCTCGTAAAATTGTGTGTAAAAATTATGTGTAAATCACCGTTATGGAATTAGAAATAAACCACGTTAACTTTTTATTTCCCCCGAGCCTCCTCCCCGATCAATACGCCAGTGCCCCGCCCCCCCCCCGATCTACACTTTGTGGGCGGAAAATCGCAACCGATCTCCCCTACCTTTCTTCTTTATCTTTTTTTTCCCCTTTCTCTCCTCTTTCCCTTTCCCTTCCCTTCCTTCTCTCTCTCTTTTAGGTTTGATGGGGGGGGGGGGGGGGGGGGAGAAGAGGGGGAGGCAAAGTCATTTCGGCCCCCACCCTTCTCCACACGTTGTTGGCGGGATTAACTGCAAATGTTCTATTTCCCCTGAAAAGTCACCTTTTTTCCGGTCCCTTTTAGCTCTCCTTTTTTCCTTTTCATTCTTTCAACTGATACCCCCTTCTTTCATTTCCTTCCTTCTCTCTTAATTTTTTTGATTGGGGGAGGGGGAGGCGACAGCCTGGGAGGCGACGCTCTTTCGCCCCCGATCACTTCTTCCCCCTTTTCTTTTCTTCTTCCTCTTCTTTCTTTCCCTTTCTCTCCTCTTTCCCTTCTTTTCCTTCTCTTTCTCTCTCTTTCTTTTTTTTTCCTCCTTTTTTTTCCCTTGTTTTTTTTTCCTTTTGTTTTTCCCTTCTTTTTTTCCTCCTTTTTGTTTCCTTCTTTTTTTTCCTTCGTTTTTTCTCTTCGTCTTTTTTCCAAGGGGGGGGGGGGGGCCGGGTCCCCCGGGCCCTCCTGGATCCGCCACTGTGTGTGTGTGTGTGTGTGTGTGTGTGTGTAGGGGGGCTGGGGCTTTTGCCCCCTCTTTAAAATAATGGAAAAAGAAGAAAAATGAGAAATACACCGTAAGAAAAAGAAGAAGAAAAACATGCAGGGAAATAGAGAACGAAAGTAATATTCCCTTG